ACTTATTACCTGAATTTGGAATAGAAATCCGAAAGCTCGTCTTTTTTTTTTCAGGACATGCATCTACTAAAACAAAAACGTAATTTTATGTTACACAAATGTAGATTTTGTATTATATATTGTAGTTTTATTAACAGCATTTTTTATCTCTTATAAACATTAGTCAGTTAGATTATTAACTGCTTGTTATATGCAATACGTTATTTTGATGACGTGTGTTAATATTTCTTCCAGGGCATAGCTGTACGTACAAGTTAATCTTGTTAAGATTAAAAACTGAATAAATTTAACATGCCAAAAAAATGGCAATGTATACTTGAGGTGTGTGAACTGTGACAATTGTAAATGCATATTGAAACGTTTTTTTTGTTCAGCGTGCCGTCAAGTACAGGATGGTGGACATTTTCCGTTTACTCTTTCTAAGCATTTTATCAGATCCATTGTAAGACTAAGAGGATTTCAGAACGTTAAAGAAGAAGTCCTATAACTTTAAAGTTCTTATGTATATGGTGATCACGTGTTCAGTCTGTTTTAAATCCTACTGTTGTGTAACTTGCATAATTTGGCTTCGTAATGAAGCTAGTGAATAACATAATGCTCCGAGTAGTATAAACTGTTTATGGTTTTTGCAATATCCCTCAATCCACATTAATATCAAGTAATAATTTAGGTACTAGAAAAAAGAAACATTAATGTTAATAATACATTATATCATACTTTTTTAGAATATGTTTTTCGTATCACCAAACTAAGCATTTTGGCGAAAAAGAAACTTCAAGCCAAGTCCATTCATGGAGTTGCCAAATGCTCAGCCAGTTAGCTGGTTTCCTAATCTCCCTTCCTCTGTCATCACTGATCCCGGAGAAACGCAATCCAAAGAACAACATCAGGCCACTCATATTAGTTTATACGTATGGTTTTTGCAACATCTATTATTCACCACGATTAATCTATATTGGTATAGGTTGTTTGAAAAATAGGCACGAGTAATATCACGACTTAATTGTTTAGTGATTTCTCACAGGACACTTATTTTCTTAACAATAAAACTATTGTTTTAGAATGGTCAACTAAGTTCACCTTTAGAAAAAATCACAGGGAAAGCTGAGTTACTCTAATATGAGTTCGAAGATAGTTGTGCATTAGTTTCATAATTGTAATCCAACAATTGTGAATGTATATTAGTGTAATTTTTTAGTGTCATTACCTTTCGCAATAAGGCCTGGCATAGTCTTATAGTTAGGTCGCTCAACTAGTAATCTGCAGGTTGCGAGCTCCAATCCCGTCTGGAATGGAATTTTACAATCTTAAATATGTCTTGTTTTAAATATTTATCTACTTGAACTTACTTATGTATGTGAATTTTCAACTGGACAAATATTTTTACAGATGCACAATTTGTGATCAGTTGCACACTAGGAAAACCCCTGATGTTTTCTACTGGCCCCCCAGCGGTACAGCGGTATGTCTGCGGACTTACAACGTTAAAATCCGGGTTTCAATACCCGGGGTGGGCAGAGCACAGATAGCCCATTTTATAACTTTGTACTTAATTACAAACAAACAACTTTCTACTGGAAAGTAAGCTATCCATATCTTCTCCCAGTCTTCATCCAGTGTATCACAAATGTTTGCACGAAATGTTACTCCACTATGTGTTTAAACAGACTATTCCTTACATCAGTTACTCTCTGGATCAAACATTCTTGTCTTCTTCTTTTTTGTAATCTGAATCTTTTTTTTTAAGTTTATGTACATAACCTCGTTTATCATTATTAAATTCACCACAAAAATGTTCATAATATTGTATCCATTCACCTTGTTACCATTTCATATGTTTCAATTAAATCACTGTTTAACCTCTTCTCTCTCAAAGTTGGTACCTTGAATATTTCGTTACTAACATCGTATTTCTTGTTCCTCAAGCCACAGACCAGTTTGACAGCTCTTTCTTGAATCTTTTCCAAGTTTTGTGGCCATGGGTGACGGACAAAGCTCAATATTGGGTCATTTAAGAGTAGCTCAAGAGTTGGCGGTAGATGCTATTGATTAGCTGTCTTCACACTAACTATTAGTTCATAATTAAGAACAGCTATTGCTGATAATTCTTGTGTGTAGTAGCTTTGTATGAAAATACGAAATAAGCAAAAACCAAAAGTATTTGAGTAGCATTTTGTCACATTCCTTTCTTAAAGAGATATCAACTTTCAAAACAGTTATCTTACCAGTTGTACAAGCTATATTCAATGAACTTGCTTATTGTATGGTAGTTTGAGTTGATTATCAAAAAAATTCCTTTCTAGCAGATGTAGCCTTTTAGCTTAGTAGGACGCTCTTTTGACGGGTTCGATTCTGAGCCCAGGTTGGACACGAGTATTTTATTTATGGTAATTCAATATCTTTTTAGTTATAGTAACTTTTCTCGAATCAGATTTAAGCAAGAAATATTATTCACCCGTGGTGAATGCTCTATAAAACGAACTAAAGAATTAACCGCTAACAATTCTTATAAAAGCACTTTTAACAGTTTAAACTACCACATTATTCCTCTCTCACACAACAAGGTTCATCTTCGAGTTTTATTTTAGCCACTAGTTGATTACGATTATCCATTTTTATTTTATTTTATTTATTTATTTATTGCATTTCCTGGTCTTAGGATCGAACCCGAAACCTCTCACTAACTAACTTAAATAATTAACCCACTCTCATTTGCAAGTAAGGCACTTTTTAACAACGCAAACTACCACAATTTTAATGTCAAGCTAATGGCTCTGAGAGTTATATAAATTTCAGTCACATGACTATTACCAGTGGATGCTAGTAGCAGAAAATCCAAACATAAATGATTTATTTATGCGTTTTAACAGTTTGATGCAAACAGATAAATCACCAAATACTATTAATTATTTCCATTTCATCTGGAGGTGCTATCAACAGAAACATAAATCATCGAACCGCTTTAATTTATTAGAATAACTGCAAATTAATAATATGCAATTATTACATTTTCAGGTACGTTCAAGTTCTTTGATCAATGTCATCAGAGGGCGCAAAAAATTAAAACATTTTCAGTGGCTGTATTCGCGTATATTTGGGCTAGTGGATCAATGTAATTTTATACATGAATATAATTTACAAAAATAAATGACACTACACTGGGGACACTCTAAACTCTTAAAGTATACTAAAGTACACTATACGTAGATTATTAACGCATATTTGCATCGTACTAAGCTCCAATTAGAAGATATGCGTATTATTTGTTTACTTGTTGTTAAGCGCAAAGATACACAATGAGCTATTTTTCCTCTCCCCACAGCGAAGTCCGATTTTAAGCGTTGTAAGCCCACAGACTTCCCCGCTGAGCCACCAGTAGAGCTACATACTTCTAGAAAATATTCAATAAAATATTGTAATGGTATTGGGTCTCTTGCTTTGTTTGTACACGTAAAAGTTTTAAACATGTGCGTAAAAATAGAAATTAACGTTATTTTTAATGCACCACCAGATGTAACCGGAAATATAAAATGCATAGATTATTATATCACTATATCTTTCACCAAAGGTTTTTTTCCTAAATACATTCCATGCGTGTGGGTGAAAATGTGCTCTAAAACTGTTCAACTCTCCACTAGGTGGCAATAGCGTTCTATGGTTTGCCTGTCTGATGCATTCTAAAATCCTTCTTCAAATAAGTTTGTTTGTTTGTTTTGAATTTCGCGCAAAGCTACACGAGGGCTATCTGCGCTAGCCGTCCCTAATTTAGCAGTGTACGACTAG